CTCGCTTGAGCCCAGGAGTTGGAGGTTGCTGTGAGTTGTGATGCCATGGCACTCTACCCAGGGGGACAGCTTGAGGCTCTGTCTCAAAAAAAAAAAATGCCTATGGGTTGATGGTAGGCTATGTGCCACCAGTTTGAGACTCTATGTTCAAGGCCCTTTTTTTTTTTTTTTTTTTTTGGAGACAGAGTTTCACTGTGTCACCCTTTGGTGGAGTGCTGTGGTGTCACAGCTCATAGCAACCTCAAACTCTTGGGTTTAAGCTATTTTTTGCCTCAGCCTCTTAAGTAACTGGGACTACAGGAGCCCACCACAATGCCCGGCTATTTTGTTGTTGTTGTTGTAGATGTCATTGTTGTTTAGCAGGCCCAGGCCGGGTTCGAACTTGCCAGCCCCCATGTATGTGGCTGGCTCCCTAACCACTGAGCTATGGGTGCCAAGCCTTTTTTTTTTTTTTGAGACAAAGTCTCACTGTGTTGCCCAGGCTAGAGTGCTGTGGTATCATAGCTCACAACAACCTCAAATTGTTGGTCTCAAATGATCCTCCTGCCTCAGCCTCCCAAGTAGATGAGACTACAGGCCCCCCTTTACCACACCAGCTAGTTTTTCTATTGTTAGTAGAGACAGGGGTCTCAGTTTGGCTCAGGCTGATCTCAAACTCCTGAGCTCAAGCAGTCCACCTGCTGTGGCCTCCCAGAGTCCTGGGATTATAGGCGTGAACCACTGTGCCTGGCCTGCATTCAAGGCTCTTAAAAGCAAAGATCTAAGCTCCCTGCCTCAGGATGGAAAAAGAGGGTCAGCTTGCCTGGGGTAACCTTGGATCTCTCACCACCCCAGCCTTCACCTTCTTCGATCCCAATGACCCGGCATGCCAGGAGATTCTGTTCAACCCCCAGACCACCATCCCAGAGCTGTTTGCCATTGTGCGCCAGTGGGTGCCTCAAGTCCAGCACAAGATAGATGTCATTGGCAATGAGGTAAGAACACTTGGGAAGCTGGAGAGGGCAGGGGACAGGGTTTCCCATATGTCTGGGTAATCCTCCCTGGTCCTCTGGTACTGGCAGATTCTGCGTCGAGGCTGCCACGTGAATGATCGTGATGGGCTGACGGACATGACCCTGCTCCATTATGCGTGCAAGGCTGGGGCCCACGGAGTTGGTGAGGGCCCAAACCCCCATAAGCCCTTAACCCTAGGCTTCCAGAACCAACACCCTCAAAACCACCAAGAACACCTGCCTCATCTGGAACCTGCAGCCTAGGATCCCAGAGTGCAGTCTCTGAGACCCAGGGCCCTCCTCATGCATTGTGCCCATTCTCTGAAGGTGGGTTCCGAGATGACCCAGGTTATTGTGCAGGGGACCCTGCTGCGGCCGTGCGCCTCTCACAGCAGCTGCTGGCCTTGGGCGCTGACGTGACCCTGCGCAGCCGCTGGACCAACATGAATGCGCTTCACTACGCAGCTTACTTCGATGTTCCCGACCTCGTACGCGTGCTGCTGAAGGGCGCAAGGCCACGAGGTGAGGAGGAGGGATCAGGGTGGGAGGAGACAGGACCCACAGGAGGAAGGAGGGCTGGAAAGTGGAGGAGGATGCTGTGTGTGTGTGTGTGTGTGTGTGTGTGTGTAGGGTGCAAAGACCTGGGTGACGGAGGTGGAGACCAGGGTGAGAGGGCCAGGATGTGGAGTGATGGGACAGAACTGAGGCCTGGCTGGGAGGGGAGAGGGGACTGGGATCCGAGGAGATAGTGAGGAAGCAGGCAGGAGGTGTGGAGGGAGATGGGGCTCAGTGTCCAGAACCCCAGGGAATGTCAGCCTAGGTGGGAGGGGAGTGGCCAAGGAGTGAGGTGGGAGCGGGGTTCTGGTGCGAAGGCTGTGGGGCCTGCAGGTTAAGAGATGAACCTGAAGGTCTGAGGAGGGCTGGGGTCTTGCTGGTGCTCACCTGTAACTCTCCTCCTGCCCACTGCTAGTGGTCAACTCCACGTGCAGTGACTTCAACCATGGCTCAGCCCTGCACATTGCTGCCTCCAACCTGTGCCTGGGTGCCGCCAAATGTTTGCTGGAGCATGGCGCCAACCCAGCACTGAGGGTACGTCTACTGTGGTCCAGTCCCCCATTCTCCTCCCCTGTCCTTCCTTCCCTCAAGTGGGCCTCTGCAGGGGACAAGCGTCACCTGCATTTCTCAACTTCCCAAATATTACAAATACCATCTGTACGTCCAACAAATGAAATAACAGTAGAAATTTAGTTAGTGTCCATTATATGTCTGGTGAAGTCTATGATAAGCCCATTTTACAATGGGGAAACTGAGGCAAAGAGATTGAAGGATTTTCCAGGGTCATCCAGCAAGGAATATCTTTTCTTCCAATTCTGGCTGACCTGGTGGCTGTGTGTAGACAGCATTTCAACATCGCAAAGACAGTCGAGTTAGGCCCTCTATGAAAGAGAGGGTTGAGCTGCTCATAAACTCAGTATGATTTTTAACCCCCAACCCATCCATTACCAGGTCCCACCCCCAACACCAGTTATTCTCCAACATCCCAGGCATGAATATCTTGGGGGGAACATGGTCTGTGCTCCTGAGACCTTGCCTCTCCTCACTTCCCGTTGTCCGGAGCTTGGCCCCTCATCCTGTACTTACCACAGGAGTTCGTTGTCAGTGTCCTCCCACTTGGCCTCATACAGGGTTGGGGTCCTTAGGCATAGCCTCCCTGAGGGTGTGACCTAAAGCCCTGAAGTCAGACCCTCACTCCCTGTTGGCTCTACCCTCAGTCCCACCCTCTATCACAGTGATTCTAAACCTTCCTAATGCCGATAACTTTTAGTACGGTCCAAAGGGGTCACTATCCACAGGTTGAGAACCACTGCTCTAACACCTTACACATCCCCAGCTCAGGCTCTCAGGGGTGGACTTCCTGGGGATGTGGTCTGCATTTGAACACCCCGCACTTCTTTTTATTTCTATGTTGGCCCAGGGTATGACCTAGTTCCTACCCTGCTTCACCCAGACTCAGGGTCTCCAGGGACATGGTCTCCATGTCACTGTGGCCTGTGCCTCTGAGTCCCCACCCCCTCTCTTCCCACTGGCCTGCAGAATCGAAAAGGACAGGTGCCTGCAGAGGTGGTCCCAGACCCTATGGACATGTCCCTGGACAAGGCAGAGGCAGCGCTGGTGGCCAAGGAGCTGCGGACGCTGTTGGAGGAGGCTGTGCCACTATCTTGCGCCCTCCCCAAGGTTACGCTACCCAACTATGACAACGTCCCAGGCAATCTCATGCTTAGTGCACTGGGCTTGCGCCTGGGAGACCGTGTGCTGCTGGATGGCCAGAAGGTCAGGGACTGGGGGTCTATGTGTGTGTGGTGGGGGAGGGCGTAGTACTCAGCCCCCTTTCCCTCCAAACTGGGTCCTTGGGCTGAGTACAGGCTGTCGCCTTTGCCTGCCTGCCCTCCCAGTCATTCATTCACACAGTACTTTATTTCATCAAATAATTAGTCTTGGGTACCTCTTCTGAACCTCACCCTGTGCTGAGCTCTTGGTTAGGGGGAGAAACAGACCTATCATCTGACAGTCCAGGGGAGAAACAGACCTATCACCTGACAGTGATGGCCCAGAGTAGTCATGGCTGTGGGGAGGCACAAGCAGAGGGATCAGCATGGTTCTGTGACTCCTCTGGGTCAGGTGGTCCCCAGTTGGGCCTTACCTCCACTCTCAGGGCAGTCACGACTTTGACTAGGAAAGTATACACTGGAGTGACTGGGTATGAGGGAGGAGGCACCCAACTTGAGGTTAAGGAGGAGCAAACCAGGAGAAGAAAAGGAGAAAGGGGTCTTAGGTATGGGAGCAGGTGAAAGACCTGAAGGGCAGAGAGAATCTTCCACCATTCAGGCATTCCATCCTGGGCTCAGTCTGTCCTTTGGGACAGAGGGCTGTGTCAGGCCCTGTCTGCATTAAGCTCCACTTGTAATGAAGGAGAGACAGGTAAGAAGGTAAACTTGTGGTTAAGATAATTTCTGGTAGCAATAAGAGCTATGAACTCATTAAATGCCTGGATTAGGAAACTGTCCCTGGCTGAATGTAGGGGTACTTTTAGCTGGGGTGTTCTGGGAAGGCTTCTCTGAAGAGGTGATGTCCAAGCTGAGATGGGACGGAGCTCACCCTGCAGGGATAAGGAAAGAGGAAGCAGGTAGGGAGGCCCACAAGTGGGAAAGGGCAGTGAGACCAGAGGAGGGCAAGGTGGAGAGTCAGCAGGGCCTGGGTCACACCAGACTTGCAGGCCACTGGAAGGAATTAGGATTCTGTTTCTTGTGCAGTGAGAAACCATAAAAGTCACTAATGCTTCCTAATCATGAGTTTTCATGCATTAGCCCCATTCAGAAAGCTTTTCATACATGATCTAATCAAATCCATCAGACAGTTATGAAAAAGAGATGGGTTGACTCTTTTCATTTTCCAACCCTGAAGATTATAAGAGGCTCCAAGAGGTGAAACCCTTTGCCTTGAGATATGTAATACCAATCTCTGCCCCTCAGAGAAGCAGCATGGTGCAGTGTTTATGAGCTCAGGCTCTGGTGTTTGCTAAGGTAATCTCAGCGTTGCCACTTAAGGGCTATGAGACCTGGGCCAGTGGTTCCACCTCTCTGGGCATCAAGTTTTCCATCTGTAAATGGAGATAATAATGGCACCCACCTAGGCAGGTGCAGTGGCTCATGCCTATAATCCTAGCACCCTGGGAGGCCAAGGTGGGTGGATTGCCTGAGCTTAGGAGTTTGAGGCAAGAGGATTGCTTGAGCCCAATAGTTTGAGGTTGCTGTGAGTTGTGACACCACGGCACTCTACCAAGGGTGACATAGTGAGACTCTGTCTCAAAAAAAAAAAACCAAACCAGATCAGGCATGTGGGCGGTGCCTGGAGTAGGGCGCCAGCCCCACATGCCGGAGGTGGCAGGTTCAAACCCAGCCTTGGCCAAAAACTGAGAAAAAAAAATAGTACCCACCTCAGAGGGTTGCGTGAGGTTTAAGTTAATTAAAATGTGTCAGGCCCTTAGAACAGAGGCTGGTGCATACAAACTACTCTTTTTTGCCAGGTACTGTTCTAATCCCTACATCTGCCCTCTGAAGCTGGGCATGAATTTGCCCATTTATAGACAAGGAGCTGAGGCACTGTGGGTAAATGAGCCCTCACACAGTAACAGTAACTACACTCACCAAAGGCTCACTGCCCCTAGGCAACTTTACATGTATTAAAAATGTTTCCACCAGGCAACTACCCCTGGGGTGGGTTGGTTTCCCCCATTTTGCAGATGAAACTGAGGCCCAGCAAGTCCCCTGACCAAAGTTACAGCCTAATAATGGCCAACACTTGCTGATTCCTTCCTTAGTACCAGGCCCTGTTCTGAGGGTTTTGTTTTGTTTTGTTTTTTGAGACAGAGTCTCACTTTGTCACCTTCAGTAGAGTGTGTGTCATAGCTCACAGCAACCTCCAGCTCTTGGGCTCAAGTGATTCTCTTGCCTCAGCCTCCTAAGTAGCTTGGACTATAGGTGCCTGCCACAATGCCTGGCTATTTTTAGAGACGGGATCTCGCTGTTGGTTAGGCTGGTGTTGAACTCATAAGCTCAGGCGATCCACCCACCTCAGCCTCCCAGAGTGCTAGGATTACAGGCATGAACCACCATGCCTGGCCTTGTTCTGAGGGTTTTAATTTCTTCCCCACAGCCCTGTCCCAAAGACCTTCCTATTATGGTAGAAATGGCCTATATCTGCCATGCAGTTAAAGCAGGGACAAGGTGGGTTGACACCTGTAGCTCATTGGCCACATACACTAGGGCTGGTGGGTTTGAACCCGGCCTGGGCCTGCCAAACAACAATGACAACTCCAGCAAAAAAATAGCCAGGTCTTGTGGTGGGCACCTGTAGTCCCACCTACTTGGGAGGCTGAGGCAAGAGAATCACTTGAGCCCAAGAGTTTGAGGTTGCTGTGAGCTGTTATGCCATAGCACTCTACCAAGGTCAACATAGTGAGACTCTGTTTCAAAAAAAAAAAAAGTAGGGACAGGCTACATTGACTGTTGAATGCTTGACATTTGGCTAGTGTGACTGGGGAAATGACTGTTTAATTCCGTTTACACTTAAATTGTCTTATGTGGCTGGTTACTATTTACTGTATTTGTTAAGGCAGCTCCAAAACAATCTTATAAGGTGGGAATAATTTCTGTTTCCATTTCAAAAATAAGAAAATTGGCCAGGCATAGTGGCTCATGCCTGTAATCCTAGCACTCTGGGAGGTCAAGGCAGGAGGATACCTTGAGTTTAGGAATTCGAGACCAGCTTGAGCAAGAATGAGACCCCCATCTCTACTAAAAAAAAAAAAAGAAAGAAAAAAAGAAAAACAACAACAACCAACCAACCAACCAACCAAACAAAAAACCTAGCCAGGTATGGTGGTGCATGTCTGTAGTCCCAGCTGCTTGGGAGCCTGAGGCAGGAGGATTGTTTGAGCCCAGGAGTTTGAGGTTGCTCTGAGCTATGACACTACAGCATTCTACTCAGGGTGACATAATGAGACTGTCTCAAAAAAAAAAAGAAACAAAGATTAGGAAATTTAAAAAAAAGATAAGGAAATTGAGCCCCAGAGAGGTAAGTCATTTAATCAGTAATGGTGATGTCTGGTCTGAGATTTGAGCCCAGGGCTCCCTCATCCACCCCATCACGCTGCCTGTGTGCTGGTGATCTGTCACGGCCTCCCAAGTCCCCTTCCCAAGCCATGTCATATCCTCCCTTGTCTTCCCAGACGGGCACACTGCGGTTCTGTGGGACCACAGAGTTCGCCAGCGGCCAGTGGGTGGGCGTGGAGCTGGATGAACCTGAGGGCAAGAATGATGGCAGCGTTGGGGGAGTCCGGTACTTCATCTGCCCTCCCAAACAGGGTCAGTCCCACCTGGGGTCCAAGAGGGGTGGGGGTGGGGTCCACTCAGTAGTTCTGATGCTGCTGTGGGGATGACGGGCTGGGGGCTGAGGGCAGGGCTGAGGGCAGAGGCTTGGACAACACCAAGCCTAAGCTCTGTTCCCCCAGGTCTTTTTGCCTCTGTGTCCAAGATCTCCAAGGCGGTGGATGCACCCCCCTCCTCTGTTACCTCCACACCCCGGACTCCCCGAATGGACTTCTCTCGTGTCACTGGCAAAGGTCGCAGAGAACACAAAGGTCAGAGAAAGGAGCTCTAGGGGTGGGACAAGCCAGTCTTGGCAATATTTTGTCGGTCACTTAGCTTCTATGACTCCGTTTCTGCTGAGGCCCAAACTCCAGTTGTAGAAGACAAACTCAGTTTCTGACTTCTCTGATTCAGATTCTCTTTTGGCTCAGTCTAGGCCCCACCTGGTTCTTAGAATGGCCTGTGGGTTCCCAGCCTTTTGTAACTTAGTTTCCCCTCAGGCCCAAGGTTTTCCCCCAATTTTAGGAAAAAAATCTGGGGAGTCCTGGCTTTTGTGACTAATTTACTCACAGACCCAATTCCCCCTTCATTTTAGGACAGTTTCTGGGTTCCTGACTTCTGACTTACTTTCTCCTTTGGCCTCTCTATACTCAGCACTGAGAAAAGATTGGGGTTTTCTAGGTTCTGTGACAGTTTCTCCTCAGGCCAAAAGCCCCCTGCCCCCAGTTCTCTGGCATCTGGGATTCAGTGTTCCTTTAAGCCAATCCCCCACCACACTCCACATTCTGGGAAAGTCTCTGGAGTTCCTCTCATATGAGCCAGGACAGGGTTTCTGCTTTGGGGCTTTCCAAGTGGCATGGAGTCCCCAAGCTGGCATCTGGGACTCTACTCCTACCCACAGCCTCTGTACCCTCTACTGTTAGGCAAGAAGAAGTCCCCATCATCCCCATCTCTGGGCAGCCTGCAGCAGCGCGATGGAGCTAAGGCTGAAGTGGGAGACCAAGTCCTTGTGGCAGGCCAGAAGCAGGGGATTGTGCGCTTCTATGGCAAGACAGACTTTGCTCCAGGTGAGGATGTGGACCCGGGGCTGAGGGGGCAGGCAGGGCCTGGAGGCATCCTAACATCCTTCTGCTGCAGGTTACTGGTATGGCATTGAGCTGGACCAGCCCACGGGCAAGCATGATGGGTCTGTCTTTGGTGTCAGGTACTTCACCTGTCCCCCTCGGCATGGGGTCTTTGCACCAGCATCCCGCATTCAGAGGTGAGTCTGAACTTTGATTCCTAGCCCAACCACACCACTCCAAGCCCTGATTCCCTTTAAGGTGGTCTCCTCCTCTTGGGCCAGCAGGACAATATGGATACCCCCCTGCCCAACCCAGCTGTCCTCATAGGCCCCTAGGGCACAGGTCTCAATCAGACTCTGGCCTCTCGTGGCTCTGACTTCTCCCATTCCCTGTGTTTCCTCAGGATTGGTGGATCCACTGACCCCCCTGGGGACAGTGTTGGAGCCAAAAAAGTACATCAAGTGACAAGTGAGTTGGAGGGTAGGGGCTGGGGACCGGGGATGGAAGATGAATGGTCATGGGTTTACAGGCACATACTGGTGACAGAGTGTTTGGTATTTAACTGAGGATACAAGGTCCAGGAAAATGATGTGATAGGGTTCCAAAGAGAATAGATTTCAAAGGGAAAGTTAACAACGAGGCTCTTTGGGAACATGGGGGTGAGCAGATGTTGGGGACAGGGTGATTACTGGAGGACATGGCAGGTATTTTTTGACAAGAGGTCCAGATGGGCATTGGGAATCCAGGTAGGTATTGGGGACATGGATAAGAGTCTGGATGGGTATTGAGGACACAGGTGGGTCTGTCATCACCTCACCTGAGCCCCTATCCTCCTCTTCAGTGACGCAGCCCAAACGCACCTTCACGACAGTCCGGACCCCAAAGGACATTGCATCAGAGAATTCTATCTCCAGGTGTGTGGCTGACCCATCCCCTCTTCTGTGGGATGTCCAGGCAGAGGCAACCACAAAGGCAGTTGAACACAGGGGTCAGGAACTCTGGTGAGGGCTAGAGAGAAAGGTTAGGAAAACTTGTGACAGGACCAGGCACAGTGGCTCATGCCTGTAATCCTAGCACTTGGGAGGCCGAGGCAGGTGGATTGCCTGAGCTCACGAGTTTGAGACCAGCCTGAGCCAGAGCAAGACTTTGTCTAAAAAAATAGCTGGATGTTGTGGCAGGCACCTGTAGTCCCAGCTACTTGGGAAGCTGAGGCAAGAGAATCACTTAAGCCCAAGAGTTTGAGGTTGCTGTGAGCTATGGTGCCACAGCACTCTACCAAGTGCAACAAAGTAAGACCCTATCCAAAAAAAAAAAAAAAGGAAAACTTAATGACTAATAAGCACACCCAGAGGGCGGTGCATGTGGCTCAGTGAGTAGGGCGCCAGCCCCATATACCGAGGGTGGCGGGTTTGGACCCAGCCCTGGCCAAACTGCAACCAAAAATAGCCGGGTGTTGTGGTGGGCGCCTGTGGTCCCAGCTACTCAGGAGGCTGAGGCAAGAGAATTGCCTAAGCCCAGGAGTTGGAGGTTGCTGTGAGCAGTGACGCCACAGCACTCTACTGAGGGTGATAAAATGAGACTCTGTCTATAAGAAAAAAAAAAAAAGCACACCGAGAAATAGCCTTTAGAGTGTAGGGCCCATACTGGATCCTGGTGACTTCACTTTTAGAGGGCAGGTAAAGGAAGCAGAACACTCTCCACTCCACATGAACCTAAAAATGCACAGCTAGAGAGAGAAGAGGCAGAATCCAGAAAGGTCAAATTGTAAGCATGAGGGACAAGCTGGGGGTGATGGATCCAGATGTTCTTATAGCCTGCATCAGAGTATGACCCAGGTCTCCTTTTCAGGTTGCTCTTCTGCTGCTGGTTTCCCTGGATGCTGAGGGCAGAGATGCAGTCTTAGAGGCCCTGGATACCTGACAGAGACAGAGTCCCTACTAGCATCTCCTGACACAAGGAGCCCCTAAGTCACCCTGCGATAGAGATTCCCAGTAACACATTGAGAGTAGAGATCCCCCATTAGCCAGCCCTCAATCACTGAGGCCCCATTATTAACAGATTCCCCCATCATAACCCCCCAAATACAGACCCCATGTCACCAGAACAAAGATTCCCTGAGTAGCACTTCAGGCTAGTCCCTATCCCCAACCTCTCAGAGAAGAACCCCAAATTAATTGATTTCCACATCACCCCCAAATGATGGTGACCCTCTCCACATGATGCTCCACACAGAATATTCTTGAGTCACTCATCACTTACCAGAAACCCTCCCATAAAAAGATCTCTCCCAAATCCTTTTGAAATAAACATAGGTCACACCTCTAGAGCAACAGATCTTCAAGTCATTATCCCTGTTTAACATCAGTCCCCTTGAGATGTCATGAACCCATGGTCACCCCAAAGCCCTTATACTCCAGCCTAGCATTCAGCTACTTCCTCCATTAACAAGACCTTTTTTCTTATCCCAAAATAAGAGAGCCACCTTAACTAGTCCACTGTCATCCCTAATTTACAGATACCAAAACAGTCCTGGAAGTGCTAATTACAGGACCCCCAAGTCTTCCTATCCTCTGTACCCTTGAGAAACCCCCAGTGCCTTGTATGAAGCCCACCCCACAATAGCCCACAGCTCCTGTGCTGTTGAGGCTCCCAGAAAATTCTCTATTTTTTAAGCAATGACTTTGGGGGACCCCAAAATTTAGAGGCCCCATTTGAGGACTCGGGATTCCAAACCCCAGAGTACTTATATCCCAAATTCCCCTATGCCCTCAAGTTCCTACAGCACCTAGAAAATCTCAAGGCCCTCACTCCCAGGACCCCTAAATCTTAGAATCCCCAAATCCCCAGGGAATCCCAAATTTTCAAATCCAATCCCAAGCCCTTAAGAAACCAAATTATCAGGTCTTGTGCCTGGGATGGAGGAGACTGAAGTCAAGAGATGAATTCCAGACTCCCAGGGCACCTCAAGCCCTATTATTCACAGGCACCAGGATACCCCAAACAGGAATTCCCATCCCTGGAAACTGCAGAACTTCAATACCCTGAGTCCATGGATCTCAATACACCCAAATTCCAAGAGTCTCAGCCCCAAGAGAATCCCAACTGTTAAAGCCTCCATGTTTAATACATGGATGTCCCCAAGGCCCTGAGGGGATCCCAAATTCTGGAGCCCCATTTCAATCTATATTCTGGTCACTGGCCCCAAAGGACCTTACAGCACCTGGGCCAGAGCAACAGCCCAAGGGAGAACCTGAAGGCCAAGGGGGTCCAGGGCAGATCTGGGGCCCAGACCACCAAGGACAGCTCACAACTGCCCCTTCACTGCATGTCCCCAAACAGCATGACTCCTGACCTCTTCAATAAAGACGTTTCTATGGCCTATCAGTGTCAGGTCATTGGGGGTTTCAGTCTTGTCTCTGTACCCTTTGCTGGGGGAGGGTGGGAGAGGAAGTACTCTGTCAGTCTCGCCTTCCTGAGGCATGGACATAGAACAGCCCTGCGGAAAGTCCCTCAAACAGCCCCTCTGGCGTCCTTCCCGCGGCCGCCTTGACTGCCCCTCCCATCTGGACCAGCTCCCCGTTAGACGGGCTAAGTTCTGGCGCCCTGATTGACAGGTGCCAAACGAAGATTCCATCCGGCGGTAGCTCAGAGGCCGGGAAGCACCGCTTATCCGCAGGGAGGGTGGAGGGGGCGGACGAATACGGCGCTAGGGCGCCGATTGGGTGGAAGGCAGGCCCTTAAGGCCGCTGAGGTTTCCCATTGGCCTGAGGACTTACGTCAGTAATGTTGGCCGGAAGTGGCTGGAGGGGGGATGGAAGTATTGAATTTAGAAATTGGAGGGGACACTGGTTTACGGTCAGTTTTGGGGGTGACCCGGGCAGAGATGGTTGTCTCGGAGGGCTGAGAGCGGGGATCCGGAGAAGCTCAGCGTGGGGTCCAAGGAGACTTTAAGAGTGCAGTCCTGAGAGACTCAGAGGCAGGGTTCTGAGAGGTTCAAGGAGAGAAAAAGATTTGAGGGGAGTCAGGCTCGGGGCTAAAGGGCTCAGGACGCTGGAGTGAAAGGGGATTGTGGAAGGGAAATCTGAGGGGCTCCAGAGTGAGGTACCCAAGGAGGCTGAGGGTGGACATGTCTGAGGATGCTCAGATTGGGGGACCAAGGATGCTCAGAACGAGGGGTCTGAAAGGGCCTGAGGCCGGGGAAGGGCTCGTGGCGGGGCTGAGTGTTGTTAGAGAGCGGGGATCGTGGTTGTGGGTGTGAAGAGGGGTCTCTTAAATGATTAAGGTGTTTAAAAGGGCTCTGGAGTGCAGGCCTGATGGGTAAGTGTGGAGTTTTTGAGAAAGGCTCCTTGTGTGGGGCCAGAGTATATTCTCAGAGGATTGAGAGGGAGGTTGTTAGTTTGATGGGCCCTTGGTGGGCAAAGTTTTGGAGAAGTAGTCTGGGTGCTCACTGTGTTGGGGCATGGAGCCTGGGGGCTCGCTGTGTGGCTTTTGAGACGCTGAGAACTCAGGTTTTAGAGACAGTGAATTTCACTGCTGAGGTGAGTCCCTGGCTGGTGATGGGGTGGAAGGCTGCATCCTGGGCTTTGGATGGGAGGCTGAGTGACTTCAGTGTCCTCTTCTCCACAGGACTGGGTACAAGGAGTTGGTGTCGATGGAGGAACAGGACTCCAGGGTCCCAGCCCTGGAACCATTCAGGGTGGAGCAGGTTATCAGGAATGGGGGTGCAGAGGGTGAAGGTGGGGACTAGTGGGTGGGAGGTGGGGTGGGATAGGCAAGCTGACTCCTGGGTTCATGGGTTGGGACTGCCCCCTCCCTCTTACCCTCAGAGTCCACCTTTACTTCTACCCTATCCCAGAATGGGCACTAGTTCCTTAACTTCAGACTGCAGCCTGACATCTTGAGCCTCTCCAGAGGGAGTGTTTGCTCAGCGATGATATGGTCCTGTGTGATTGGAAGGGCCACACCTTCAGGGGGCTCTCTCTATCCTAGGCACCACCTGTAATCTACTATGTCCCTGATTTCATTTCCAAGGAAGAGGAGGAGTATTTGCTTCGACAGGTGATCTCAGTACCCTTCTGGTCTGTTTTTCTCCCTCTTGCCATATCTCTCCCCAACCCTGGCCCCAAGACACAGGTGGGCTTTGGGGCTAAAGGCCTCCCCAGGAAGGAAGGCAAACAACAAAATCCAACATTACCCAGAGAATGGTTCCCACAGACAATGAGATGATCCATTTCCACCCCAGGTAAAGGCCTCTGTTGGCCTGGGTGGGAGAATTATGGAAGGGTCCTGAAAAAGGAGTGCCCCTATCTCCATCTCCTAGGTTTTTAATGCCCCAAAGCCAAAGTGGACCCAGCTCTCTGGGAGGAGGTTACAGAACTGGGGTAAGTATCCCTGGCTGAGGGCATGAGTGATTCTGGGGTGTGAGCTAGAGCAGGGGGCCCAGGTACAATAATCTCAAGAACATTTTGGGAGGTTTCCTGAAGGTACATGGGGTCACAATGGACATTGAGATTTTGAGGGGTCAGTAGAGGTCCTGAGGAGTTAGGATTTTCCTTATGAGTTGGGAGTATCTGAAAGAATCCAATGGTGAAGTTAGAGAGCCTTTGAAGGGTCCAGTGGTCCCTGAGGGGGTCAGGGTTCTTTCAATCATTGGGATGTCCCTAAGGGGGGCTCCAGGCACCATGGGGGAGCCCTCAGAATGCTGTTGCCCTCCCCAGGTGGGCTCCCCCATCCTCGGGGAATGGTTCCTGAGCGGCTACCCCCATGGCTCCAGCGCTACGTGGACAAAGTATCTGACCTCCGACTTTTTGGGGGTCTCCCAGCTAACCATGTCCTTGTGAACCAGTATCTGCCTGGGGAGGGCATCATGGTAACTGCATCTACTCTCCCCAGCCCCCTCAGTAACTGCCTCCCCGCAGACCTTTGAGACATCACAGGGCAAGGATTCTTGTTTGCCCTCCCTCACACTCATCAAGCAGCCACACACCCCAAGCAGGCGCTCACCTCCCTGTCCCCAGCTTGGGGGCCCCCCTTTAGCCTAAAGGGTAGGGGGTATGGACTCCTGCCCTGCCCAGCCCTGGTGCCTACTCCCCAGCCCCATGAGGACGGACCACTGTACTACCCAACTGTCAGCACCATCAGCCTGGGCTCCCACACTATACTGGACCTCTACGAGCCACGGCAGCCAGAGGATGATGACCCTATGGAACAGGTGAGCCAGAGATGCTATCCCAGCCACTTGTACTTGACATTTCACCCACCTTTGAGGTACACCTGATATCCTCCCAGACACCTTCCTCTGTCCCTATAGGGTATACCTGCCTCCTAGATGCCCAGCCCATCTGCTTTCAGGATATCCTGTATACCATGATTCCACAGACACCCCAGTGCCCCAACCTGCTGAGTAGATGCCCCTGATCTCCTGACCCCACATGCTCAGAGTGTTCCAACTGCCCAGTTCACATGCAGGGCTCCACGGTACTCCAGCATATGCTCTGACCTCAGATACCCCAAGTGTTCCCCAGCATCCTCCTGGATGTCCTGACTCTGTCCCCTGCATAGACTTCCTGCCACTCCAGTAATGTGATCTGTAGTGCCAGACACCTAGATTCTCCTTGGACCCTTGACACATGACTTGCTGTTCAGGGACCCTGCCAGCACCTTCTCTGACTTCTTTCTCTGAGTGATGCATTTCTGATGCTTCAGTGTTCACAGAAACTCCCCTGGATACCCTGACCAGTTCCTTCTTGGAGCTTCCCCTCTAGCCTTATGTACTCCTGGGTACGCCAGCACCCCCCACCCCCACCCCCCGTGCTAGCATCCTGTAACATTCTGATGTCCTTGGGTGTGCCACTCCCACTAACCTCTGCCTTGCTGTCCTCCCCAACCTGGTTTCAGCCATGCCCTCTCAGCTGGCTCTGCCTGAGTTTCCTAGGGACTGCTGGTCTCTTGGTCCCAACCCCAGCTCTTGGGAGATCCCAGCTGCAGCTCCTCCACCCCATTCCCTTATCTGCTGCCTAGTTCCTGCCTCTCTGAGGGCCTGCTGTCCCACCTCCTCGCTTCCCTGGCAGCCTAGACCCCAGGATCCACCAATTTTCACTCCTGAACCACCAAAGCCTTGATCCTTGGGAATGTGTTTGCTCTTTAGCCTTTGTTCTTGGGGACTTGTTGACCCTTGTCCCTGACCCCCCAAAGCCTGTGACCTCTCACCTCTCCCCCCACACCTGACTTCTGGAGACCCACTGACCATCAACCTGCCCCACAGCCCCGGCCCCCACCCCAGCCCACTACCTCGTTGCTGCTGGAACCTCGAAGCCTGCTGGTGCTCCGTGGCACCGCCTACACGCGCCTCCTCCATGGCATCGCAGCCACCAGCATAGATGCACTCGATTCCACCTCCTTGCCATCCAATGCAGCTGCCTGCCCATTGGCAAGGCCTGGGGCTTGCCTGGTCCGCGGCACCAGGGTCTCCCTGACTATACGCCGTGTACCCCGCGTGCTGCGCGCTGGCCTTCTGCTCAGCAAGTGACCACCAGGCTTCTGGCACCCATTCGGATTCCCGGGTTCCTGCCCACCTTGGGTCTGGCATGCTGTGACCTTGGAACCCTGGGGTGGAGGCAGCTCCCTGCGTTATTTATTTTCTCAGTGTAACTTTGTGGGAACCAAGAAGATCCCATTCCAAATAAACCAAAAATATCTTTCCTTGGTTTTAGTGGGTTTTTTTGGTTCCTGAGGGGTACCACATCTGGACCATAAGTGGGTGGGGTAGGGCCTGGAGATTAGATGTATGGGTCCTGAGTGGGAGAGAATAGGACTTTTGAGGGGCTGGGGTGGGTTATAACTGGAACTTCCTTCAACGGGATGGGGTGATGTTGGGAGATTTAGCTATTGGTGCTGCTGGGGTGTAAAGAGTTAAGTTGTTCTGTTGTCACCTGAGCAGGGCATCAAATTACCCAGGTCCAGGTTCCTCTTGGAAGGGGTGGAGCCAGGCCCCGCCCTTGGGTGTTTTTGCAGCCATAGGCCTGGATGAGTCCTGCTGAGGTCTGGGGGACAGCCTTGGTTAGGGAAAAGGCTCTTACTGGGTGTCCTCATCTGATTCTCTGTCCTCGGGCTCTCAGCTATGGCCCTGTCCCCACCTCTGGGCCCTAGACTCCTCTCAGAGCCCCTCAACCACCCCCCTGGAGCCCCTAGGGAGCCGGAAGCTGCTGGATGCACTACCTGCCCTCCATCCGGAGGGGAGAGAATCAGGTGGGGACTGGGGCTTTTGAAGATTGTTCCTGAGAAAGTGGGGGCAATAGCAAGGGCCACATTAGGGTAGGGGGTGCTATGACTGATCACCTGGGGACAGGAAAGGGACCTGAGGATGGAGTGAGTGTCAGGTGGAAAGTGAAGCACTAGGGCTCACTGGTTCAATGCCCCCTCCTTTCCAGGCCAGAGCAGGCCCAGAACCTGGCACAGGACTCCCTGGACCCTCCCGAGCACTTCCAGGGAAGGCTAAGGGGCACTGAGCCCACTGCTGGCCCCCCAAGATTGTTAATGCCCTCTTCCCATGAGGACTCAGCTGGAAGTAAACATTGTGAGGTGAGCTGAGATGACCCAGCCCCCTGTGCTAGCTCCCACCTCCTCTTTGTCCCCCCAAATCTGGCCTCCACACTGCAGATGAGGTAATGATTCTGTAAAGGTGTTGGGCATCTGTGGGGGGAGGCACACTCAGGAAAATGTCTCTCTACCAATCAGTAGAAAAATATTCTGTTATTTACCAACTGGGAGAGTGATTTTCATTTTTGGCCCTGGTGTAGCCAGACCTACCTCTCGGAGGTACCTACCCCATTACCTCAGACCCCAAGCCACACATATCCAGGTTTCCAGGAGCTTTGAAGACCCAAAGACCTTGGATTAGATGTCCCCAGGCCTGGCTCTACTGGGAAGGTACCTCAGTGGGCACAGCCCTGGTATGATCCAGGGATGGATTCTGCGATCGAGAAACATGCAGAAGGCAGGAGCCTAACACAGGAGGGATGGCAATGGGGTGAGGGCAATGTCTAGACTGGCTCATTGGCCCTGATGTGGACCCCTGTGTTCCCCAGCAGCCCATCTCTGGCCTGGAGGTACTAGAGGCTGAGCAAGACACCCTGCACCTTTGCCTACTGGGGATGGAGCGAGGCCGGGGGCCCTGGGCATTTGCCCAGACAGGAATGGTCCAGCTGCAGGTAGGCAAGGGGAGGCCAGAATGTGGGAGGGTGGGCAGGGCCTCAGGGGTGGGTGCCAGCTTTTGGGGGTGGGAAATGGGTTTATTGTATGTTTCAAGTCTCTGGATAGAAAATGGGGGAGGGGTAACTCCAGCTCTGGGTCTCTGGTGTCCCTGGTGTATGTGCGAGGTGATGTTTGACCATGTGTCCCCAGGCCCTGCAGGCAGACCTTCGAGGAGCAGCAGAGCGTGTGGATGCACTGCTGGCGTTCGGTGAGGGGCTGGCACAGCGGAGTGAGCCTCGGGCCTGGGCATCCCTGGAGCAGATCCTGAGGGCCCTTGGAGCCCACCGAGACACCATCTTTCGACGGCTCTGGCAGCTGCAGGCCCAGCTAGTTGGCTATAGCCTGGTATGGCCCAACTTGATGGCTCCTGGCCTGGGCCCCAATCTTGTGACTCCCATGACCTCTGTTCTCTGACCCAGGTGTTCAAGGATGCTGGCACTGTGGACCAGGACTTGGAGATTGAGGGGGACGCAGATGGGCCAGGACCTGGTGGAGTCTGGGGGCCCTGGGCACCCAGTAGCCTCCCCACTTCTGCAGAGTTGGAATGGGACCCAGCAGGGGATGTTGGGGGCCTTGGACCCTTGGGGCAAAAGACAGCCTGGACACCAGCAGCTCCCTGTGAGCTGTGTGGCCACAGGGCCCCACAGGGCAGAGGACAAGGCCTTGAGGTAAGAACAGTCCCCTCAAGGGACCCTCCTCCCTCAGGTACCCAGAGGCACCTCTGTGTGCCTTCTAGCAGTGCCCTGCCCTTTTCAAGGTTTTGGTGGCTCAGTCCCTCCCTTTTTATCTTTGGGACTTAGCCCCTCCCTCTCACCCCTAGTTTTCCAGGGTGGCCTCCTTTTCAGCAGAACGACTGCCCCGGCCACTGCACCTTTATTTCCCACTGGGTTACCACCCCAGGGAAGGAGAGTGTCTCTATGTTTATCTCCACTTTCTTCATCCCTCTGACTATCTCACTGTCATCCCCTCTCATCTGTCTCGACATCATCAAGCCTGTTTTTCCTCCCTCTGCCCCTCACTGTCCTTGCTACAGCTGCACTGGCCTCCTGGCTCTTGTACAAACATCACACATTCACTCCTACTTTGAAGTCCGCAGAAGCATAGCCCTCGTTTCCTTCCAGTCTCTCCTCAAACTCCACTCTTCAGAGAGGCCTTCCCTGGCTGGCCCCCAAACATTAGCAACCCTTGTCTTCTTACTTTATTTCCTGATAGCACTTACCACCGTTTGACTTTATGTATATGGTCTCTCCCTCCCACTAAAGCATAAGCTCCGAAAAGGTCAGGAATTTGCCTATTTCCATCCCCATTGGGTCCCCAGCTCCTAGAAGAGTGCCTGGCATGTAACAGACACTCATTAAATATTTGTTGAATGAATGAATAAATAATGTCTCTCCTCTCTTGGTTTCTTTGGCTCTGCCCCGTGAGATCTCTCTGTGCCCCCAGAATCTCATCTCTGTGGTACCCCCTCCACATCCTAGTTCTTCCCCAACCATGCTTCTCTTAGTGGCTTGTTCTCCAAAGCCACATACCCCTTTCTATCCACAGGATATGCTCATGTCTGGTCTCAGCCACCGGAAACACTTAGCAGGTTACCGAAGATGTGCCCTATTCCAGAAGCCTCAGGTGAGCTTGTCCTCAGCCAGGCATAGCACTCAGGAATATTGATAGCAAGTGACAGAAATCCAACCAATTGGATGACACAAAAAAGAGGATGCTTTTTTTTCACATAATTGAAAAGTCTAGGCACTGCTGAATTTAGAACCTCCGATGGCATTAGGGCTAAGTCCCTCCCTCTCTTGACCTCTGCTTTTCCAGGGTGGCCTCCTTTTCAGCAGAATGGCTGCCCCGGCCACTACACCCTTATTTCCCATTGGGTTACCACCCCAGGGAAGGAGAGTGCTTCCAACCTACTAGCAGCAGCCGAAGTCCCAGGGCTGACTCCCACCTGCCTGGCTTGGGTCAGGATTGGCCAGGTCAGGGTCATGTCCCTAATCATGGACATGGAGTAGGTGGGGGTCAACTTCACATGAACCCGAAGGCCTGGGAATAGAACAAATGACCCTGCCACTCCAAACTGAGCCACTGTTATCAGGAAAAGGGGGGTTGGATTGGAGGGAGGATAGGCACACATGGACATCCACTACACCTGAGATATTCCATGGTTGGAGTCCTGGGGATAGCAGGGGTGCCAGGAAAGGAGGAGAGAGAGACTATCCCTGTAGGTCTATAGTAGTAAGGGCAAGTCCATACTAAGTGTCGCTTCTATCCATTATGCTGTGGGCTGCTGTCTATCCTTAGGACAAGAAGAGGCAAGTGTCTCCCAGTCTCCGGGATGTGACATTGGAGGTAGATACTGGGTAAGGTGCCCACATGGGTCTGGAGTATGGTGGACAAGGCTCATGGTGGCACCCCACCCACATATTTAACACTGCATTTCCCTTGGCAGGGCCCCCGATCCTACATCCAGGTGGCCCCTGGCCTTTCTCCTTATCCTCCTCCTCCTTCTCCTGGTTGGGGCTGCATTGCTCCTGCCCATTGCAGGGGTCCTCTGCTGCTCTCATGTCCGACTGGCCAGGACACCTTACCTGGTGCTCAGTTACGTCAATGGTCTCCCCCCAATCTGAGTACACAGCTCAGACATGTATAATAAATGGTCACTGTCAATGGACGTGTCAGGATCTTGTGTGCTTGAGTACCCAGAATCTAGGTTATGGCCCTCATGTCTGGATAGATCTCTTTGCTTTGATTACAGAACACAGAATGGAATCAGCTCATCTCAGGTTGGCTTGCTCCAGACCCTGATGCAAAGATTCAAGTACAAGTACTTTATTTGGGAGGTGATACTTGTGATAGTAAGGGAGAGAGGAAGAGAGCCAGGGAGGGAAGAAGCCCGTAGTGGTTGAGTTAATGAGCTGCTTGCTGTTCTGGCACCATCCTACTGGGGACCTCTGGGAAACTCTGTGGAACACAGTTTGAAGTTGTGTCACTTCATGCAAAGAAGTTGTGGCATTTATATGCCAGCTCCCATCTCTCATTGTTGAGGACTCTTCCTGGAGACATTAATGCCTCAGATTCTGGGAGACACTCCAGGTTCCAGGGAAAGGCAGGATGCAAACTGGGTTGGCCCTGTTACTAATGCCGGGCCAAGTCTCTGCCCCTACCTAAAGAGAAGGTGTGGTCTTGGGATCACCAGCCAATAGAGCCCACAGAGTCTTGCCAGTATACCTGGTGATAGAACATATCTGTGTCATTTGTTCATTCATTCATTCAACAAATATTGACTGCCTGCTATGAGCCAGGCCAGGATAGTAAACAAGATGGATTAAAATTCCTCTGGAGCTGGCAGCACCCATAGCACAGTGGTTATGGTGCCAGCCACATGCACCAAGGCTGGAAGGTTTGAACTCAGCCTGGGGCCAGCTAAATAGCAATGACAACTCCAACAACAAAATAGCCTGGTGTTGTGGCGGGCACCTGTAGTCCTAGCTACTTGGGAGGCTAAGGCAAAAGAATCGCTTAAGCCCAAGAGTTTGAGGTTGCTGTGAACTGTGACATGACAGCACTCTACTGAGGGCAACACAGTGAGACTCTGTCTAAATAAACAAACAGGGGTGGTGTCTGTGGCTCAAAGGACTAGGGTGCCGCCCCATATGCTGGAGGTGGTGGGTTCAAACACAGCCCTGGCAAAACAAACAAACAAACAAAAAACAACCCCTCATAACAAACAAAATCTGAAAAAAAAAATTCATCTGGAGCTGACATTCTAGTGGGGCAGATCAACAATGAATTTTAAAAACAAGTGGTGCCTGTGGCTCAGTGAGTAGGGTGTCAGCCCCATATACCAAGTGTGGTGAGTTCAAACCCAGCCCTGGCCAAACTGCAACAATAAAAAATAAAAAAATTGGTTAAAAAAAATAAGTAAAATATGTAGCAGGTGATAGTGCTAAGGAGAAAAATCAAGTGATTTTTGGGGAAAAGGGGAGAGGGGCTACAGTTTAAATGGGAGGTAGGTATCAGGTATTAAGTCACCACAGTATTAATTACACCATTATGGCAAACTGTTATGAGAAAACAAGCCACAGAGGCTTCTGGAACAGTGCTGTATGACAGAAATATAATTGGAGCTGTGAGTGTATTTTAACATTTTCTAGTAGTCACGTTGAAACAGTAGAAATGGGTGACATTAATTTTAATAATTTATATTCTATTTAACCTGATAATATCATTTCAACATGCAATCAATGTAGAAAAATAAGATATTTTACAATCCTTTTCTCTTACCAAGTCTTTGAAATATTTTTTGGTAGCACATCTCAGTTTGGATGTTAAAGTTTGGGGAGATAAAATGTAGTCTTACAAAACAACAAAGCTGTATAACAGAAACTATTTTATACTACTTCAGTTTTTAAATTGAAATTATTTATTTATTTATTTTGAGACAGAGTCTCATGCTGTCGTCTTGGGTAGAGTGTCATGGCAAATTAGCTCACAGCAACCTCCAACTCCTGGGCTTAAGCGATCCTCTTGCCTCAGTTTTTCTATTTTTAGTAGAGATGGGGGCGTCTTGCTCTTGCTCAGGTTGGTCTTGACTCATGATCTCAAGCAATCCACCCATCTTGGCTAGAGTGCTAGGATTACAGGCATAAGCCACCTCACCTGGCCTAAACTGAAATTATTTAAAATTAAGGCTGGTCACAGTGGCTCACATCTGTAATCCTAGCACTCTGGAGGCTGAGGCGGGTGGATTTTAAGCTTAGGAGTTGGAAAGGAGCCTGAGCAAGAGTGAGACCCTGTCTCTACTAAAAATAGAAAAACTAGCCATGTGTTGTAGCAGGCACTTGTCCCAGCTGCTCAGGAGGCTGAGGCAAGAGGATCACTTGAGTCCCAAGAATTTGAGGTTGCTGTGAGCTGTGATGACACAGCACTGTACCCAGTGCAACAGAGTAAGACTCTTATCTTTAAAAAGAAAATTAAAATAAATACAATAAAATATATAAAATTAAGAATTCAGTTTCTCAGTTACATTGACCACATTTTAAATGTTCAAGGTATTCTCACTATCATAGTTAAATGTTCACAGGTATTCTCACTACCATATTGGACAGTACAGACCTTGAGGAAAGGCATTCAGGGTGGAGGAGGTGCAAGGGCAAAGGCCCTGAGGTAGGAATGTGCCTGCTTGTGGGAAGGCCAGTGTAGCTGAAGCCTGATTGGAAGGGGAGAGTGGAAGCAGATGAGGTTTGAGGTGATGGGGCCAGATCAAGTGTGGCCATGGGGAGGACTAATCTGAGTAAGAGAAGCACCACTGGAGTCTTCCCAGCTTTCATTCTGGTAACTTTTAAACTTGTACAAAAGGGGAACAGTATCACAAGTCCTCATGGACTCATCATTAGCTCCAATCATTATCCACTCAGGGCCAATCCCATTCTATTCTCCCAAACATCCACCCCCATCTCCCCCTACTTTGAAGCCAACTCTAGACATCATATTCTTTTACTCATTCATGGAGCATCTCCAGAAGATCAAGATTATTTTAAAAATCTAATTACAATACTTTTACCACTGTAAAAAAATTTCAGTCACTTCTCCATATCATTTGAACCCAGGGTTGTTCAAAGAAAGGTGCTGGACAGGAGTGATGAGAAGGTGCAGGTGTGTCTGGTGGCTCCTCGTCCAGTACAGTGAGTTCCCAGAGTTCCTCAAGGTACCACTGGGCCAACTCCTGCATCTGTTCAATGACCCTGTCCCTTAGCACCGCTGAGTTTGACTCAAGACAAGAACACATTCTAGCAACTTGTGATTCCCAATAGGGTGGAGACCAGATATTAGTTTTTCAAAGGCCAAATACACAGAAACTTCATTTAATTTATGGAAAAATCTGTGAAGAAAGTTTTGCATGAGTTTTATGAAGTCTCAGAAAATACATATTTCATTTTTATGAAAACATGCCCTGTATGTGAGGATCTCTGATACCCAAAGATGGAGAATGACCCATAAGATGCTGATACAATTATTGACACTTTCAGTTTTTGATTTTTGTTTCAAATTACTGAAAATGGCTGGGCATAGTGGCTCATACCTGTAATCTTAGGACTCTGGGAGGCTGAGGTTAAGTGGATTGCTTGAACTTGGGAGTTCGAGAACAGCCTGAGCAAGAGCAAGACCCTGTCTTTACTAAAAATAGAAAAACTAGCTGGGCCTCATGTAGTCTTAGCTACTCAAGAGGCTGAGGCAAGTGGATTGTTTGAGGTTGCTGGCACTCTACCCAGGGTGACAAGAGTTAAGACTTTCTCTCAAATTATTGAAAACTTTTATTTATTTATTTTTTGAAACAGACTCTTACTTTGTTGCCCTTGGTAGAGTAAGCTTACTTACAGCAACCTCACTCTTGGGCTCAAGCGAGCCTCTTGCCTCAGCCTCCCAAGTAGCTGGGACTAGAGGCACCCACCACAACACCTGGCTTTTTTTTTTTTTTTTGAGACAGTCTCACTCTATTGCCCTCAGTCGAGTGCCATGGCATCACAGCTCATAGCAACCTCATACTCTTGGGCTTAAGCGATTCTCTTGCCTCAGCCTCCCAAGTAGCTGGAACTACAGTCGCCGGCTATTTATTTTTTGGCTGTTGTTTCAGCTGCCATTGTTTAGCTGGACCCGGCTGGGTTTGAACCTACCGGCCTCAGTGTATGTGGCCAGCGCTCTACCCACTGGGCAACGGGCACCGTTGCCTGGCTATTTTTTAGAGACAGAGTCTCTCACTCTAGCTTTGGCTGGTCTCCTGAGCTGAAGCAGTCCACCTGCCTTGGCCTCCCAGAGTGCTAGGTTTACAGGCATGAGCCACTGAGCCCCGCCCTTGAAAACTTTTAAAGACTAGTACAATAACGCCCATGTACTCTTTACCCAGGGTCACCAATTATTAACATTTGGCTTCATTTGTATTAGCATTCATACTCTTGCTAATCTGTTTATGTAAGTACGTATGTTTTGGAACCATTTGAGCATAATTACAGACATGATGCCTTTACTCCTAAATACTTCAGTGTCTATCTTAACAAGGGCATTCTCCTACACAATTATACGACAGTCATCAAAATCAGAAACTTTAAATTCAATTCTATTTTAACAATTCTATCCATATTCCAAATTACTCCAATTCCCATATGTCTTTTATAGCAATTTTTTTAGATCAGGAGATTCTGTGTAACAGATGGGTGAAACGCTGACCCTGTGCCTTAGCAGAATGGAAAAAACAGCAGCAGGCATGCACAATCCATCAGCGGAGTTCTGGCCCTGTTCCCACGCATGGCACGAGAACATCCTCTGAGCCAAGGCCTCGGGTGGTGGTTTATCTGGGGGGTGATCCTAGAAGGCAGGAGTGAAGAGTGGCAAGTAGGGAGAGGCAGAGCAGGGGGAAAGCCAAAAAATGCCATTTATGGAGTCATAACCACTGCAAACAACCAGTGCTCACTCCCAGAGTAGGGGGCATATGAGGAACCTTCTAGAACAAAAGGCAGGTGGGGCACTCATCCAATGACTGCTGTCCCCAGCAGGCTCAGGGTTGCCTCTGAGGCATTAACCCACCTCCCAGAAAGCCTCAAGCACAACAGAGGCTCATTGTAGAAAGCCAGCAACCTCATGGGAATTGCTTCCAAGCGAACTAAAGTGGTAGATCATAGAGGGCCATTATCACCTGCTGCCACACGTATTTAATTCATTGTAGCAGAGTAATGGCCACATCAGGGAGGCAGTATTATTATACTCATTTCATTTAAAAATACACTGAGCCAAAAAAAAAAAAAATACAAGATGGAGACTTTACTTCTTACGTGTTTACATGGATGGAGCTGGAACATATTCTTCTTAGCAAAGTATCTCAAGAATGGAAGAAAAAGTATCCAATGTACTCAGTCTTACTATGAAACCAATTTATAGCTTTCTTATGAAAGCTATAACCCATTATAGCCTAAGAAGAAAGGGAAGGGGAAAGGGAGGGGAGGGGAGGGGGCAGGATGGGTTGAGGGAAAGTAATTGGTGGGACCACACCTATGGTGCATCTTACAAGGGTACATGTGAAATTTACTAGGTGTAGAATATAAATGTCTTAACTCAATAACTAAGAAAATGCTGTGAAGGCTATGTTAACCAGTTTGATGAAAACATTTCAAATTGTATATAAAACCAGCACATTATACCCCATGATTGCATTAATGTATACCGCTATAATTAAAAAAAAATACATTGAGCCACAGAGGTTAAGTCACTTGTCCATGATCATGTCATCAGTATGTACTGGAGCTGTGGTTCAAGCCCTGCCTTCTGGTTCTGGGATCCATGTTCTTAACTGCTGTTCACCTCCACACCTCCTCCAAACGTCAGCTCAGGCATTCTCCTCCCCTACCCTCTCTGGGAAACCCCAGTCATCTGTAATGGCCGGTGAATGCCTCCTCCCCTCTTGACCAGGGATGCCCAGCCCTAATGGAAACTTGACCACTGCCAGAAGCTCCAACCAGGAGTTTACCATGGCTCGAAATCATGGAGCCAGGAGTGAGTGGCAGGAAATGCAGCTGGAGATAGTATGGGGCTGGATGGGTAGGACCCCTCTGGCCACTTCCAGGACTTTGGCTTTTCCTCTGAGATGGAGCCAGGGCAGGGTTAACAGGATCACACTGATGAAAAAAACCAAGGCTGAGAGAGATGAACAAGGTGGCTGAGGCCCCATGGTGAGGGCTAGGCTAAGGTCCAGGCTCCTTTCCTAAGGTCGTCCTCCCCCCCACCCCCACTGCATCTGCAGGAATTCATTTTCACTTATTTAACGAAGGTGGGTGCAAATAAGCTTAGGGGTGCAAAATGCTGTCCCCAGAATAATGTCTAGGGCAGGTCCATATGGGACATGAGAGACAGTATGCCTGAGATCTGTGGGTCCATCTCCCCTCCCCCACCTCTGGGCCTTGTTGACAAAAATCCCAGCTTGAAGAGGCTAGATTCTTTAGCCAGGTTTGAGGACAAGTTTTGTGAAATAATAAAAAGGATCCCAGAGCCCCACCACTGCCCTACGGGTTATGAGCCAGGCTTTCTCAGATGCATTTCCTCTCTTGCATGGAGGTTAAATCACTTGCCCTCCATTAAGGAGTTAACTGGCGTCTCTTGGGGTCTAGCTAGGATGAGTCCTCTCCAGGGATATGTCCAGGAGAGAAAACTATGCTGCCTCACTCAATCGGCCACTCTAGAGGGCTCCAAAGGGAAAGTCAGCTCCTCCCACTCATCCCCTGCCAAGGAGTCACTTCTCACTAAGTGCATATGTGGGAGGCCTCTTCGAAAATCTCCAAATAAAATGTTCCCCAACGGAGAAGGAAGCACACCCCTAATTTTATTCCCTTTGTTCAACAGTCTGAAGGGGAAGGTGCACAGAAGTCAGGGTTGCCCCTGAACCATCAAGGAGGGGTCTTGAAGGGTCTTTAGTTAATAAGCCTGGGTGAGAGACCCCTGTCCCCTTCCTCATGGTTCTGGCTTGTCACAATTAATGCATTCATGCGGGGCAAGGTTTTCCAAAGGGGATCCAGCTTCTCACCGTTTATCAGGGCAGCTTCCCTGAAACTTCTCCGTAAAAGTTCTTCTCAGAGTTAAATACTTCTCTAATACTTCTCTGCTCTTCTCAGAGTTAAATACAGGAGAGAGGAGTCTTCATGAGAAGCCAGGGGTGGGAATGTTCGCAGGGGTCAAGAGAAGGGTGTCTCAGGCTCTCAGTTCATGAGCAGGGTGTCCGGGCTTCCCATGCCTCCAGGTAAGTAGCTCTTGGCTTGACCCCATCCGCTTACTGGCGTCCCAGGTCCTACCAGCTCTCATGGGGGAGGAGGACAACCTGTAGCCAAGCATCAGGAAAGGCTGGGCAACACTCGCCGCCCATCACAAGGCTCTCCAGGCCAGCATCACCCAGAGGGCTCGTTCTTCCCGACAATCCATCAAGCTAGTTTATTAAGACCTCGCACCTCCATCAGGCAGCTTCTTCGGTCTCCCCACGCAGTTAGGCGGGCTCCCTGGCTCCCTTAGGCCATCGAGCTCTTCTCTGCTGTCACCGTCCGTTGGGCCGCGTCTCTGGTGCCCCCGTTCCGTCGTGAGGGTTGTTTGGACCGTTACCGTTGTCAGACGGGATTCCCAGGGCTCCGGCGCCCCCAAACCCCTCGGTCGGGCCCCGCGGTCGTACGAAGGTGCCCATGGCCGTGGCGTGGCCGGAGCGCAGCAGCTCCAGCTGGCGCTGGCCGCGGCGGTACAGGTACTCGATGCGCAGTACGTCGGAGCGAGGCAGGCAGGCGTGCTGGCGGAACTCGGCCCGCACTCGCGCCTCGGCGCCCGGCTTCCCTCGCCCGGCGCGCAGCAACTCGCGGTACAGTCTTAGAACCTGTCTCTGCAGGCGGCTGGGCCGGCTCATGGTAGCAGCCAGGCCTCGGGCGCACACAGAGAACTCCCCGGAACAGTAACCCTCGAGTTCCACTCACAAACTCCAAAGTGCAAATGCTACGTCCACTTCCGCCCGACACTTCCCCAACCCTCCGCCTTCGGACTCCCGCTATCCAGCACCGTCACGCCCGATTGGCTGTCGCTGCAGTTACGACACAAAAGGGGCGTTGCTGGGGGGGCGGAGCCGCTGGTTCTCTTCCCCTCCCCGCACGAGTAATCTGTGTCCTTGAGGCGGTAGCAACCGTGGGGAACTCTGGCATCCGGTGGTAGGAAGGGGCCAGGTGCTCAGGTCTTGGTTCGGAAGAGGCAGAGGGTCCTGACCTGACTCCTGGCAGAAGAGGGAGCTAAGAGTTCTGACCTTTGGGTCCTCAAGGGCACAGGGGCACAGAGAGAGAGGATAGGTACAAACCTGTTTTTGTCATCGGTTATTGATTAAAACCGACTTGGGCAGCTCTCTGCATTCCCTCCTCCAGGGTCGGTCTGTGTCGGCGCGGACGAAGGTGGGGGAATCCCGAGCTTCTCGGGGCTGTTGGGAAAGCAAGCCCCCAAAGGCAGCAAGTGGCTCTAGAAGTTGGCCTGGCCGCGCCCTCTGCTGGTGGGAGTCAGGTCCTGGAACAGTAGAAAAAGGATCCTCACCCGCTGTTAAAGCCTTGAGTCCTGGGCCAGGCGCAGTGGCTCGCTCTGGGAGGTCGAAGGGGGTGGATCCTTGAATTCAGGAGTTCGAGACCAGTCTGAGCAAGATTGAGACCCTCCCCCTCCGTCTCCACTAAAAATAGAAAAACTGAGGCAAGAGGATGAGGTTGCTGTGAGGTATGACATGAGGGCATTCTATCCAGAGCGACAGAGTGAGACTCTGTCTCAAAAGAAACAAAAAAGCCTTGAGTCCTTCATGCCCTGGAGTGGTAGACTAGGCTGGCACCCCGAGTCCTCCCGGAAGCATTTGGTCATTGACCGCATTTCCACTGTAGTTCCTGCAGGCAGCTTGGGAGCATTGGGACCTTAAGGGGGCCGCTGGATAACCCAGGACCCCTGGTGCCCCGTGTCCGTTCACCTGCAAAGAGGAGAGGCTTCTAGTGGAGTTCAGAAATCACTGTGAGGCTCAGTGCCTGTAGCTCAAGCAGCTAAGGCGCCAGCCACATACACCAGAGCTGGCAGGTTTGAATCCAGCCCGGGGTCTGCTAAACAACAATGACAACAACAACAAATAGCCGGGTGTTATGGCGAGCGCCTGTAGTCCCAGCTACTTGGGAGGATGAGGCAAGAGGCAAGAGAAACGCTTAAGCCCAGGAGTTGGAGGTTGCTGTGAGCTGTGATGCTACATCACTCTACCCAGGGCGACAGCTTGAGGCGGGTCTGTGGCTCAGTGGGTAAGGTACCGGCCCCATATACCAAGGGTTGGCAGATTCAAACCCAGCCCTGGCCACACTGCAACAAAAAAATAGCAGGGTGATAAAGTGAGACTCTGTGTCTACCAAAAAAAGAAAAAAAGAAAAAGAAAGAAACCACTGTGAATCCTGCCAGGTGTGTTTCTGTAGAAAATATTCATCCCAGCTTGTTCTGGGGGCTGAGATGGGAGGATCCCATCCCTTGAGCCCAGAAGAGGGAAACTGTCGTAAGAAAGCAAACAAACAAAATATCTAGGTCTTTGCTAGAGAAGTAGGGTCTGGGATTTGCTTTAAAATCCTCCAGTGAGAACGAAACAAAGAGTGGGTGGGAAAAAAGCAAAATATTTGTAACTGTGATGGGTTCAAGGGATTTCATAATACTGTTCTCTCTTTTGTGATGCTTGAAAATTTCCATAATAAATGCTACATTCTTAGTAAAGTATTACAAGGATGGAAAAACAAGTGTCTAGTGTACTCTATACTAATATGAAACTAGTAGACAAGCAATACAGGCCCACACAAAAGAAAAACTCAATTCAAGTGGGGGGGAAGGGCGGGGATTGGTGACCTCCTACCTAATAGGCACAATGTGAGGATATATGGCACATCTCCTGGCCCAGGAACACAGCTACAACAGGGACTAACAAATGCAAACATTGTAACCTAATCATCTGTACCCTCATATTAATCTGAAAATAAAAGAAAATAAAATCTCAAAAAAAAAAAAAGCAGCTTTAGAGAAAAAAAGTCTGGAACTAGTTACATCTCTCACCTGTGTCTTCATAATCAAATCATTGTTTTCTGAGCATGTACTATGTGCCAGGCACAATTCCACATGCTTTAATGCTTTATTTTTTCTTAATTTATAAGAATGTATGACAGTACATTAAACATTTATTTTAATACTTTATTTAATTTTTTTTGAGATAGAGTCTCACTATGTCACCCTTGTCACCTAGTGACATAGTCTCACTGTCACCCTTGTCACCCTTGGTAGAGTGCCATGCCATCACAGCTCACAGTAACCTCCAACTCTTGGGCTTAAGTGATTCTCTTGCTTCAGCCTCCCAAATAACTGGGACTACAGGCGTCCACCACAACACCCTGCTATTTATTTTGTTGTTGTTGTTTAGCAGGCCCGGGCTGGGTTTGAACCCACCAGCCCTGGTGCATGTGGCTGGTGCCCCAACCACTGAACTACAGGCGCCAAGCCACACCTGGCTATTTTTTTGTTGTAGTTATCATTTGGCTGGCCCAGCCTGGGTTTGAATCTACCAGCCCTGGGGTATGTGGCTGGTGCCCTAGTTGCTGAGCTAAAGGCATATTTAATATTATTTTTAAGACAGAGTCTCACTCTGTCACCTGGGTAGAGTGTTGAGGCTTCTACCTCAGCAACCTCAAACTCTTGGGCTTGAACTTGCCTTAGCCTCCCAAATAGCTGGGACTACAGGTACCTACCAAAATTCCCCGGCTAGTTTTTCTGTTTTTAGTAGAGGTAGGGTTTCACTCTTGCTCAGGCTGGTCTCAAATTCCTGAGCTCAATCCATCCTTGGCCTCCCAGAGTGTTAGGATCACAGGTGTGAGCCACGGTACCAGCCTACTTTTATATTTTTAAATGATAGTTGCTATTTGATCCTTACAACACTCTGACATGGCAGGCACATCTACAGTGCTATTTGCCTCTTACTGATTAGGGAATTGTGGCCCAGATGAGTAACATAGCTTGCCCAGGCTCACACAGCTGATAAGTGGCAGAGCCAGGTTTTGAACCCAGCAATTCTGACTTCAGGACCCATGTTCTTTTTTTTTCTTTTTTGAGACAGAGTCTCACTATGTTGCCCTTAGTAGAGTGCTGTGTCGTCACAGCTCACAGGAACCTCAAACTCTTGGGCTTAAGGGATTATTTTGCCTCAGCTTCCCAAGAAGCTGGGACTATAGGTGCCTGCCACAACGCCTGGCTATTTTTTGTTGTAGTTGTCATTGTTATTTAGCTAGCCTGGGCTGCATTTGAACCCACCAGCGCCGTAACCACTGTATGTGGTCAGCGCCGTAACCACTGTTCCACGGGCTCCAAGCCAGGATCCATGTTCTTAACCACTGTGCCATACACATATATGCCTCCTCTCCATTAATAATATAAAAGTCGCTGCAAGAATATTCACCATTTATACTTATGGAGCACTTAGGATATGCCAAGCACCTTACACGTATCCTCATAGTGACCCTGTGTAGTGGGTACTACTCTTATCTCCACTTTCTGTGGTTGAGCAAACAGGCATAGAGAGGCTGAGTCAGTTGGCAAGGTTACAGTAGAACTTGGAGCGACACACAGTCTCTTGACCCTTTAACTGAAGGCTCTTGCTTAGCTTACCAGCCAGGTTGTACCAGGTACCCCAGCTGTTCTCTCACTGCCCCATCCTCTCCTGCAGTTATCCCCAAACTGAACAGCTGTATTCATTTCTCAGCATGGGATTTCAGATTTCCCCCCTTACTTATTATATAGGAACTATCCATTTTGCTTGCCCACTATCCTGCTGCTGTCTTGCTTTCGCATTCCTTGGAGAACCCTGTGTCCTCTGCTTTGGCATCTCAACTGGATGTCCAACCTCTCCCTGTCTAGGCTCTTTCCATCAGCCATGACGCCATAGTTCACAGCAACTTCAAACTCTTGGGCTCAAGAGTATCCTCCTGCCTCAGCCTCCCAAATAGCTGAAACTATAGGCACCTGCCATAATACCAGGCTATTTTTAGTAGAGACTGGGTCTCACTATTGCTCAGTATAGTCTTGAACTCCTAAGCTCAAGCAATACTCCAGCCTCCCAGAGTAATAGGATTACAGGTGTGAGCCACTCCTCCCAGCCACTGAATCTTTTTTTTTTTTTGAGAAATGGGTGTTTCACTCTGCTGTCTAGGTTAGAGTACAGTGGTATGATCATAGTTTGCTGCAGCCTTGAACTCCTGGGTTCAAGTTATCCTCCTGTCTCAGCCTCCTGTTTTGCTGAGACTACAGGTGCATGCCACCAAACTTGGCTAATTTTTTCCCCAGTTTTTTTACAGGTGGGGTATTACTATGTTGTTCAAGCTGGTTTCAAACTCCTGGCCACAAGTAACCCCACTTCTGTCTCCCAAGTCACTGGGATTACAGGCATGGACCATCATGCCCGTCTGTCTTTCTAGGTGATTTATTTAAAAAAAATTTTTTTTTTTAGATAGAGTCTCATTCCATCACCATGAGTAGAGTGCCATGGTGTCATGATAGTTCACAGCAACCTCAAACTCTTGGGCTCAAGCGATCCTCTTGCCTCAGCCTCCCCATTGGCTGAGACTGCAAGCGCCTGCCACAATGCATGGCTATTTCTGGATGATCTTTAGTTTCCCCTTTCTGCATGGACAACTCATCAAGAGAGGTGTCTATGGCCAGGCATGGTCGCTCATGTCTATAATCCTAGCACTTTGAGAAGCCAAGGCAGGTAGATTGCTTGAGCTCAGGAGTTCAAGACCAGACTGAGCAAGAGTGAAACCCTGTCTCTACTAAAAAAATAGAAAAGCTAGATGGGCATGGTGGCAGGCACCTATAGTTCAAGCTACTTGGGAGGCTGAAGCAAGAGGATGATTGCTCAAGCCCGGAGTTTGAGGTTTCCA